GATTGCTATCCGAAGAAAGGTCGGATGGTTGTTTTGTACAGCTGGGATTAGCCAGAGCATTACAATTGATTAGATTTGCTTGTTGAAGAAGAGATGTGGCGTGAGTCGATTGGGATAGAAAATACTTATCTGAGAGTGATGTAATACAGATGCCAAGGAATTCCTTCGCCGGACCAAGAAGCTTCATTGTGAACTGAGAGCTGAGGCTATTGAGAAGCGTGGAGATGACACCGTTGTCATTGCCTGTGATTAGTATGTCATCTATATAGATTAACAAGAAAATATGGATACGATCCCTATTAAGGATTAAGAGAGAAGGACCCGCTTTGCTGTGTTGGAATCCAATGTCAATCAGATAATTTGTAAACATTGTATACCACTGCCTTGGAGCTTGTTTCTGACCGTAGATGGCTTTTTGGAGGTGACAAACGTAGTCTGGATGTGTTGTATCTTCAAATCCTTTCGGTTGGCGCATATAGATTGTTTCATCAAGGTTGCCATGGAGAAAGGCATTCGATACATCCAGTTTTTGAACCTGCCATCCATTATACAGGGCTACGGTGAAGAGGATTCGGATGGTTGGTAGCTTGGCTACCGGATTGAATGTCTCTCCATAATCTAGTTCGAATTCTTGATGATTTCCTTGGGCGACCAACCGTGCTTTGAATCTTGCAATTGAGCCATCAGCATTGTATTTTTTGAGGAAAGTCCATCGGCATCCTAAGATTGATGCATTCGGAGGCGGAGGGACTAGACACCATGTACCTTGCTTCTGAAGAGAAAGAAATTCTGATGCCATAGCTTGTCGCCACTCCACATGCTTACTTGCTTATGTATAGGTTGTTGGAACCAGAGCTTTAACATCTTGTACTTCTTGATGCAGAAGATTTAGACGAGTGGTGGGTTTGAGCGAGCCCGTTCTCATCCTAGTGACCATAGGATGTCTTGGAGAATCGCAATTGCTTGTATCCAGAACTAGTAACTGTTGTGTGGATGTGCTAGTGATCATATCGCTGGTTGTATTAGGTGGAATTATGATTTTGGATATGTCTGAGTTCGGTTTGGAGGATGAAGGTTTATGCAGAATTGTTTTGACTGGAACAAGTAAAGGAGCAGGTACATCCAGCGATTTTTGTTCCTTTCTAGTGTTGGTTTGCTTGAAAGGGAAGGAGTCTTCAGAGAATTGAACATGTCTTGAAATTAGAATGCGATTAGTGCTTTGATTTAAGCACTTGTATCCTTTTTGAGTATCACTGTAACCTATGAAAATACAAGATTGAGTTAGGATGAAGTTTGGTTCTTGTGTGAGTAGGGATTAGCAGAAAGCACTCGCATCCAAAGATCCTTAAATACGAGTATTCAGGTGTAATATTAAACATGAGTTTAAGAGGAGGTATATTGTGTGTAGTCGCTGTCGGAAGCCAGTTGATAAGGTAGACAACTGTAGTAATAGCTTCAGGCCAGTATGAATGCGGCATAGTTGTTGTGTGAAGAAGAGTTCGCGCTGTTTCTACTATATGACGATGCTTTCGTTATGCTACTCCGTTTTGCTCCGGAGTGTAAGGGCATGATAGTTGATGTTGAATTCCTTTGGATTGAAGAAACGTGGAGAGCGTATGATTAACGTATTTTGTTCCTCCATCGATTTGATTTGGCGATCGGTTTGCTTCTCAATATGCTTAATAAAATTAATAAATAAATGAGGAACATCAGATTTTAGCAAGAAAGGGAAAATCCAAGTAAAATGAGAGTAATCATCCACAATAATGAGATAGTATCGAAGACCCTGATGCGAGGGGACCGGAGAGGGTCCCCATACATCCGAGTGAACGAGAGCTAGCGGTTCTTTTGATCGATGTACAGATTTGACAAAAGGTATTTTATGACTTTTACAAGTCTTACACAAACTACAATTATAGTAAGATGTCGGTATATGCAGTTGAGGATTTGTTTGAGAGATGGATTTCAGAGCTCTACTGTGAGGATGCCCGAGCCGAAGATGCCAGTTGGTGGTAGATCTAGGAACCGCTAATAGAGCTTGATGCTGCGTAGAACCAGTAGAGGGAGCTAGCGGATAGAGTCCATTCCTACATGGTCCTTTGAGAAGAGTTTTGTGAGTCTGAAGTCCTTAAAAACGTATCCATTAGGATCAAATGCAATAGAAATTTGATTTTCTTGAACAAGATTGGACATGGACAGAAAATTATATGAAATTGATAGAATGTGTAGTAAGTTAGAGAGAAATAGCTTACGATCCGGTGTGGGTAGCAGACTTGTTCCGGAATGAGCAATGGGTACCGATCTGCCGTCCCCTACCGTTACTTGGTCGTAACCGTTATAAACCGAGCCTTGCATGAGGTTGTCTATGCGATTTGTCATGTGGGACGAGGCTCCCGAATCTAAATACCAGTCTGTAGAAGGCACTTCCATCGTGGAAAGAAGAGCGTTTCTAGTATCTTGCGCGGTTTTTGGGGTGATATAGTTGGCATTGAGTCTATGCCAGCAGATGTCCATAGTATGCCCCCCTTTTTGTGCAAATTTGACAGACGAGAGAAGACTTGGATCCAGATTTGTTGACGGTGTTGGTGGTTTGAGATGATCGTCCTCTGCCTGTACGACCTCTACCTCTATTTGTGTAAAGAGCTGTCTGAGCGTCTTGCGTGACAACGATTCTTTGGGAGTCCGCTTGAATATGGATCTCTTCATTAATTAGTAGGGCGTATAGAGTGTCAAGCATTAGAGGGTTTTGCATTGTTTGTATATATGTTTTGAACGATTGATACGACGCCGGTAGACCATTCATGATGTGGAGAATAATATATTCGGTGTCCATCTTAGCGCCAGCGGATGCAATGTTATCTACAAGTTTATTGATTTATGTAAGATACATTTGCATAGACATGTTTTTCATAGAAATGTCGCGAAGCTCATTCTTGAGATGAATCACTATAGATCGACTAGATGATTGGAACCGGGTCTGCAGCGCCTGCCATATTTCCGCAGAGGAGTCGAGGTGCATAATGTATGGCAGAACAAGAGCAGATATTGTTGAGCAGATGGCCGCCACGAGATTGTGGTCGGTGAGGATCCAGGTGGTGTTGCGGACATTTGGGTCAGTGTTTTCTTGATCTTGATCGCGATCAGACAAGGACGAGGCCGAGATCGGTTCAAGAAAAGCCTCAAAGCCATTGGCCTTGAATAGTTTCAGTATTTGATTCCTCCAGATCTGGTAATTTTCCGAAGAAAGATGGTGAGGAACCAAAAATTTGAGATTGGAGATGATAAATTTGAGGGATGGATAAAGAGCGAATTTGTCGGACTTATCTCCAGAGGTTGCTGCCGTTGTAGACAACGATGAAGCCATGAAGATTCATTGCCCAGAGACTCAAACCGCTTATGATACCATGTTGAAACTTAAGATCGTCGATGGTAATCAGAGCAATACAGAGAGATGATGGAACAGACAAGAAGCTTGAATGAATTTCATTAATTATTCTAATCTATTACAGGAGTATATAAAGACATGAAGCTAAATAGCTTTACACGTGTAAACAAGCTAGTGGACAGTAAGAATACAATTATAATTATTTATTTATTATTGCTGTTCTGACACCTCTTGAGGTTATATAAGAGAGTAGAATTTTCAACTAATGTCTAAAATAATCCTAAAAGTAACATAATCATGAGCGACCTCAAAGGTTCATAGTTTTGTGTGGGGAGGCTATGGTAATCCTTCAAAAATGATTTTGATTGCTGAAATTTAGACTTCGTTTGACACGACTTTCTTACTGTTTTTTTAAAGTAATTTTTTTAGTATAAAAATTTAATTTATATACTATAAAGCTCATTTATAAGAAAGTCATCTCAAAACAAAGTCTTAGACTTATTTAATTTAAAGAGATATATTTATTTAAATTCAGATTGGCTGATGCGAAGCTTTGATCTTCCATCAAAGAAGATGTTGAATTTCCTCATTTGGTCATGTTTCAAGCGAGGATAACCGTCCAAGGTTCATAATCTCTGTTGAGAGCGATCAATCCTTCTTCAAAAATGGGTTGATTGCCCTGATTTAAACATACTACAACAGATGAGCGATCATGGTTTTCATTCAAAAGCTCTTTTTTTCCTCTACGCAAAGGTCGATTGTTCCCAAATATGATGGAGATACAGCTTTATACAGTTATGTGTTACTAACGAGGTGATGCAGAGATGATGATAAAAGTGGTTACTACAAAAAAAAAAAAAAGTCTGCAATTCAATGTGTAACCTAAAATTTTATAGTTTTAGGGAATATTTTATGATATTTAGTATTTTTTTTTCATCTTTTCTTATTATTTTAGTTAAATGTTTTTTATGCATGCTCTTTACATGTGTTCCGTTCTCAAAAATATTTTGTATTCTTTTACTTCAAACTAAATATCAAAAATATTGAAATGCAATAAATTTCTAATACTTTCGAGCAAATCACTTTTAGAGAAGCAAAAAAGTCCCGGTTGTATCTCTCTAAGGTTTTGTTTGGAACAACTTTCATATTATTTTTTAAGGCAGCTTTTCAATATAAAATTTTTTAAAAACAATGAAAAATAATGACAAAACATTATTCCATACTAAGCCTAAATAAGACCCTCCTCTATAGTTAGGCATGTTTTAGACGTCTATAGCATTCAGGCATAAATCTTATAAGCCATTTCTGTATCCAGAATAACTAAAAATCTCATGATAAAATGTATGATGACAAATGAAATTTTATTGGAGTTATTAAATGAAATTTTTTGTAGGAATTCTCCTTTATAATATTCTCTTGTGAAAAGTAGCAGTGTGTCAATTTTGGGTCACGGGTCGGGTTCGAGTTGAACTCGGAACTGACCTGACACTATTCGGATCAATCGGAATCCAACCAGTTTTTTGCAAACGGGCCGATTATTTGGACCCAAACCCTGCCTTGCTTCGGGTTCGGATTAACCCGACTTGACCCGGTTTGGGTTCGACAACAGCAGAAATCACATAACTCTTGCGAGCAACAACGGCGACAAAAGCGACAGCGGCAAGCGATGCGATGCGGCATCACGAGCAGTGGCGAGGCGCGATAGCGACAACGGCTCGAAGGCAGCAAAGAAGCGCAAGCAGCGGCATAGCACACAGACAGACGCGACGGCGCGATGCGACGTGCGGAAGCGGCTTGATGTGATGCAGGCATACTACGCGAGCAGAGAGGCAACCGGGTAATTTCCGGATCAACCTGAACCCGACCCAATTTTTTTAAACGTGTCGAAAACCCTAACCCGAACCCGACCAGGTTTCAGTTCGGGTCAACTTAAGCTAGAAATTTCTAAGTTGGGTTCATATCAGAATTTTGGATCATGTCAAATACTGACACTCCTATGAAAAAGTATAGATGATTTGCTCGAACTGTAATTATTTTTTTCAGATGAAGAAACTAATTTTTCTTGAACTGACAAGTTCGTTCGTTAACCATACACAATTTCATTAAATTTTTAGCTGCAACGGTAAGATATTGGTAACATAAAAACAAATCTTTTAGGTCATTTAGTTTAAGACGTTTAACAAACATGACAATGGTAGCGAGTCCTACCGGTGGGAGTCTGCTGCCCTTCTTCTTCTTCTGCCATGCAGTAGCACCCTGACCATTAATCTTTCCGCTCCCAGTGATCAGCAAGCCATTGACGCGCCTGAAAGCAATCCATTCCTTGCGAAAAACCTGTAGATCCGTCGGAGCAAGAATCACACCATTCACTTCCACCACCATTGCACTCTTGCAAAGCCCTTGAAAACTGACCGGGCCGATCAAGAATGTTCCTTCCGGTATCAACACTTTCGCCCGTCCGAGCAATCCACAATCTGTTGAACATGCTTCGCTCCATGCTTTGAGGAAAGCTGGCACGCTATTATTTTTTCCTTCTGGGCACGCGCCGTAGCTAGTCACATCAAACATTTTTTCGGTAAAATTTTGGCCGCAACAACTATTTTCACGTGCTACGATGAGGACGAGGAGCGATAACAAGATCTTGGAATCCATTTGCGATCGTTGGTATGCTTGTCTTCTTTTGGCGCCCCCTCGGAACCCTCTCTCTCTCTCCTCAATCTATCTGATCTTTCATTTTTGGATGCTTTTATGTTGATTAAGGATGGGATATGGTTGGAGAATGCATGGTAACTAATTATTTCAACTTATGGCCATCTTTAATTTGTGTTCTATGTTTAGGCTATTTAATTTGTTGCTTACCTATGGACATAATTAGTTAAACAGCCTATTTTTTCCTTATTTAAGTAAAAAAAATTCTAATCTTAGACTTCTTAAATATAATTATTATTTTTTTTTTTTTTTGAAAAATTTTGGGGCTGAGCCCGATTTATATAAGATTAAAAATGATTATATCAGAAAAAAACCAACAAAAAAATATAAACAAAACCAGAAAAAAGAAACATCATAAGAGGGGAACTAAAAGAAACCAACATACTACAAAAATTCGAAACAAATTAGAGGAGAAAAAGAGCAAAAGAATTGGACTCAATTTATTCAAAGCCAACCTTCATAATTCTTTAGATACTTGAATGAAACTTCTGTTGATTCAGGGTAAATTAGTCGTGAACCCATTCAGAAAAAATGGTTGGCACAGGGACCATCTTTCCGGCATTATTTTAAAAATCCCATGGTTGCCATCACTATATGAAATGCTCTGTTATTACCGGCGGACAAAATTCATCGCTAACACTAGAAATATGTCGAAAATTCCCTTTTTCTAGCGAATTTCCAGCGAAAAATGATTCAACGATAATTTGTGTGTCGGAAAATATAAATCGGAGAAAATTTTCTGCTAGAAAATGTTATGGATGAATTCCTGAGCAAAAATGATGGGAAACAGATGCCTTTTCCGTTAACATATTCCTGCATTAATTTTATCCACCGGTAGTACCGGTGGAAACTGTACGCAGGAAATACCGGCGAATAATCCATCGACATAGTCTGATGCACTGTTATCGACGGATAATTCCTGTGGACTATTCGCCGAAAATTCTGGTGCATATTTATGCCTGAAACATCACTTTATTTTTGTTGTATCGTGTTGCCAGTGGTATTTCTGACGGAAATTCTACCGGAAACCTGGAGCATAAAAAAAAAACCTCCTAGCTTTTTAAACTGATTTCCACAATACAACCAGCATAGAAAAAAATGCAATACTATATACATTCAAACATCCACCTCTAACCAAGAACATCACCAAATATTAAACATAAATATATACACAATAACAAAAACAAGAAGAATATCATCAACAAATATCCAATAATAAACAAGTTCAGATGTCCAAAAAATAAATAAGTAAACATGTCCAAAAATACATAAATACAAATGTCCACAAAATTAAGAAAAACAACATCTACTCTAATTCAATTTTACGGCTTATGTCTGTCTGCCAGAAAGTCCTATTATTACTTTCTTTCTATAAATGATAAACAATGCAGTAGATTGATAAATAGTAAATATGCTTAGCTCTTTTATTTGACTCATGATTGTTATCAATGCAATCAAATAATTAGAATATAGTAGGTCTCATTAAAAATGAATCTATGAAAGGAAGTATACCTTATGTCACCGAAAAAGAATAATCACTTTCAAGGAAGATGTGTTTGTGTGTCTCCGCCGCATCGTAACATAAAAAATAGGGAGTAGGAATATTAATAGCCTTCTTATTCAACAAATATGTTGTTTTAGTCTCTCAATACTTGTCAACCAAGTAAACATAGAGAATCTTATAGAACGATTTTTATGCCAAATATACTTATGCCAGAATACCCTATCTTCCTGAGAAAAATAGTGAGCATAGAAATTCATGTGTAACATTTTGGAATACCTTCCCAAAAACCCTCTCTAATTTATACAATTTTAATGTATTTAAGATTGTTTTGGACCGTGAGAGGAAACTGGTCAGGTATAATTCAAATACCAATCTGAATAAAAGAATTTACAGCAACATATAAAAGCCAAGGGGGATGAAATCACTACAAAAAAATTGCTTATTTCCGTCAGAAATAAACATGTTAGAAATCCCGACTAATTTTCCAACGAATTTCCGGTGGAATTCCGACAGATTTTTTGGAGGTATTTCCAACAGATTTTTCGCCGGCTTTTCTGATGAAATTTCTGGTAGATTTTCGATAAAATTTCAAATTTTCTGGAAAATGACAATTAAGAATATTTAAAATTATTCATTTTATTAAATTAAATTAAATATTACTTAAATAAAATAAATTAAAAAGTTTAATAATTTATTGTTAAATTAAATATAATAATTATTTTGATCTTAAAAAAACTATATTTTTAAATATAGTAATTATTTTAAATAAAATATAAATTAAATTAAACTCAGCATTTATAAATTAATTTAATTACTTTTATTTTAATGA